ATGTGACTTGCTCAGAGAGTGGCGGCTGGCGTACAGTAAGTGAAATTCGCCATGCCAACGGTCAAAGCAGAGACCTGTTTTGATCCATGACACTATGACACCTCTGATGGCAAGATAAAACCACAGCTGAGGACACCTGGCTCTCATTCCAATTCTTAATATAAGATGCAGTTGCAGCCATTTGGCTCCTGCTGTAAATTTCAACCTTGGAGACAGGATGGTTCTATTAATTGGCAAGATTTACTGCTTGGAGAAGTCTTTGATCTAAATTTCCCAAGATCCTGCTCAGTTTCCTACCTTTACCTCAGCTATCCCTCTCCTTTATTTGGAAACCCAATAAATACTGGCTATCCAGGGAAGTCTTTGTCTTAGTGCCTAAGAGAGTTCTGACCTTTCTAGATTCCCCAAAGCCATATTACTCATCTCTTTTATTTAAGCCTTTGCCATAACTCATTTTAGGGATTAGGGGATAGGCCAAGTCCCCTGTACTTCTGAACCTGCAGTTTGAATAAAATTATTATAATTGCAGCCATTGCTGCAGTTTATTCTATCTGTGCAGGTCCAACAGGGAACAATGAAAGTTAGGTGTAATAATTTGGGGTGAGATGAACAGGAGCATATTGAAAGTTCTGAGAAGTCCTGAATTCTACACAGTTTTATACCCAAATTCATTTGACCACAGGATAATTTTTCATATAACATCTCTCAGCGTGTCACAGTGCTCTTTGAAACATCCACAGGAAATGGACTTTGAGGGAGGAAGAGCATAAACATTGATTCCATGCTTATGCCTGGCTGAGTCCCAGGGGCTTGGCATTTTCCCAGGCAATACTTACAAGGAGGTGTGATGCCCCTCTGTGACTCCCCTCAAAGTGAGTGCCATGTTTTTAAGTCAGTTCACCCGCACTGTCACTCGGTCACTTTTTCTTCTGAGTCCTTGGTCAGAACACCTCTTGGCAGCAAGGCTGCTTCTAATTAGTGCCAAGCTAAGTGCAATTCGGAGGTGGATTTCAGTAGTATCGTTCCAAGCCACCTTCCATACTTGTGTGTGTGTGTGTGTGTGTGTGTGTGTGTGTTTCTGGGGATTGCACCAACCCCTTTGCATTTAACTACTTCCCCAGCCCCTTTTAATTTTTATTTTGAGACAGGGTCTAGCTAAATTGCCCAGGTTGATCTTTAACTTGTGATCTTCTTGCCTCAGCCTCTTCAGTAGCTGGGATTGCAACCTTGCACCACCACAACTGACTCCCATATTCTTTTTTTATTTTTCCATTTTCTCAAAAATACACTGACAAGCAATAAACTGGTCCTGTGGGGGCGGGGGACACTTGCGTGTGTTTTGAAAGTGACATAATCAGTGTATTTCCCGCTGTGGGGTCCATTCGGCTGATTGCCATCCTCACCCACTGTGACATATGAGACAGCTCCATGATAATATCTGTAGACCGGGTCTCTTACTTCCCACTGCCCTGGATTACCAGAATTATCAGCCTTGCTGCTGAAAGACACTTGTACTGATTCACGTTATGGAGGACTCTGCAGAGCAGCTTCCGGCGCGGGGCTTCTTCTGCGCATGCGTAAATCTCACTAGGTTAGGTAGGGCTGGAACTTCTTGGTTATAATATATAATTTCAACTTTGCTGAATATTCCCTTGTTGCTCTTTGCTCGTTAATTCATAGACTGTGTGAATATCTTCACTTCCGTTTTTCTCACCTGCACTTGCATTTTAATTTTTGCAAACCTGATGAGTTCTGTTTTAATTGGCATCTCTGGTTATTAGGGAAGTTGAGCATATTTTCATTTCACTGTGTGATTTTTCCAGCCATAGTCAACCCTTCACAGTTCCAGCCAGAGGTAAACTCAGAGAAAGGAGCGCTGGGTCCCACATGACAGACACAAACTGCTGCCCAGTCTGGGCCTAGGCTGTGCCTCCCTTTGTCCCTCCAAACCTTGGGGTGCCAAGCTCCCCAAATACTCAGTATGATTAAAACTACAATGAGTGTTTAAAAATATTTCTTACAGTAAAAGACACAGTGCCATTAATCCCTCCTCAAAATGCCCCTCCTTGCTGCAGTCTTATATTCCATATGCTTGACACTGTCTGAAGCGGCTCTGAAAGTCCTCTCTTGTGTCATTAGTTGCACTGTCATGGCTGCCTTGATGTCCTAAATCATTTCAAAAGGTTGACCTTTCACGGTCATTTTGACCTTGGGGAAAAGCCAAAAGTCACATGGTGCCAGATCTGGTAAGGAGGACGAGGACACACTGTAGGGTTTTGACAAGCCTGCCTTTCCATTGGATGGCTCTCGGAAGCAACATTCACAATTTTTAAAAATTGCACCTCATAACGATACAAAAGAGGACTGCAGGAACAGCTTCAGAAAAGGGTCAGAATGATGGGAGAAGTGTATTTGAAGGGAAGGGGTATTTTGAGGGGATTAATGGCGGTATGTTTTTTAGTGCAATAATTTTTAAAATTTAAACACTCACTATAATATTTCAATCATCCCTCACAGACCCTGCTGGGCTTTGCTCACACTGCATCCTTTGTCTAGAATGCTGTATCTTTTCTAGTCCTGAATGCACCTACACAGGTTCAAGACTGATTTCAGGAGGCACCTCCTCCATGAAGCCTATGGTCTAACCAGGGCCGTAGTGTATCCATAGTGACACTCATGCTGCTCTGTGCCTCCACCGGCCCTGTGTCACTGCCCACTTCATGCATAAACCTTTTCTTCTGAGTCAACTCTCTCCCCAGAAGACAGAAGTCTCTGAGGACCGGTGCATGCCTCGTTCACCTTTGCACTCGTAGCTTCCTGTACAGATGCTCATACTGTCAACCACACAGGTGGATGAGCCTCAGAGACCCCTTCTTCTGAACCACTCCTCCGCAGCCTGCACAATGCCCACGGACAAGGACTGCATGACGTCCCTATTGCTGTCCCCTGCCTCACCTAACAGGGCTGAGGCTTTGACCTTCAGTGCATATTTGGCAACAATGCAGTAGAGTTACCTGGCAAGGTACAAAGTGGACTTTGTCACAAATTGCTGGGCTTGGATCCCAGCTTCTTACTGGTATAATTGTCTGCAGTTTACCTGGCTTCTGCAAACTTGTCCTCTCCTTCATAAAAGCTTTGAGGATGACATCAAGATGAAATATGGCTGTATGTGTAAAGCATTTGGTATGTGATCATTTCTGTGTTCCAAAGTACACAGTGTGCCTGAGCCACAACATGTAACGTGACTCAAGTGTGTCTTGTGCTGCACACATAGCACCTGCTTGATAAAGGTGAAGTTCTGCTTTCCCAGCACCAAGAACAGTTTCTGGCAGAAAGCAGGGACCCCAGAAAGGAGTTGAACTGAACCCAGCACCTTGAGCTGTCACACACTCAGATGCTCAGCAAATATCTAGTCAGATTTTATTCCATGCATTGCATTCTGGCCCAATCTCATCTTGAAGTCATTCTCTCTTATGGGAGGAGGGTGTTTAGAGAAATGTGGGAACTCTGCTTCCCTTCTCTTGGCAGTGATTTTTTATTTTTCCCTTTGCTTTGACTTTTGCAAAGCAAGATGACGACCGTGGTAGACTCTTCAGGTTATCTTCCGTGAGCCCCTTCTGCCCGTAGCAATACCCTTGGGAGGTCTCCTCCCACAAAGTCTGGGTATTATCATAGGCCCTTTGGCCACAGGAACATTAACCATCGAAGGTAAGGCTTGATAAAATCCTTGCACACTGAATCTTGTCACTTTGAAATGTCCCTTCTTAGAACCCAGGCCCCACATCATGAAGAGACCCAAGCCAGCCTTGAGGAAAGAATAATGCCCAGACAGCCACTGCCCGCAGTACCCATTCTAGCTGCAAGGTATACATCCCAGTTGTGGTACTCATGCCATATGGAAAGTATCCACCCAAGCTGTAGGACTCATCCCAGCTGAAGCACCAGGCATGTGTGTCACAGATGACAGAGGGAGCAGGGGTGAGCCAGACCTGCTAAACCTTTCCCATTTGCATGATCGGGAACAAATTTTTAAGCCACTAGTTCTGGATGAGGTTGGGCACACAGCAAATAAAAATGTCCCATGAATAGAGCAGGTCTTGAGAGGACAAGTCAGTGAGCTGAGGGTGGGGGTGTTGCTGGTTTAGAGATCCACCAGTTGAAAAGCTCCAGGATCAACTAGTAAGCACAGCTGCTCTGGAACCCCTTCTCTGGAGGATCTTCCCTGGGGTTCCAGTCCCCAAGTCCCTCCCCTGCTGACACCAGCGATCATCATTAACTAAAGATCTCTTGGCTGCTCAAACAAGGAGATGCCCAGGCTCACAGTATAGGATGCCAAGAAGTGGGTAGCTTCTGCCAAGTTCACAGTGCAACTTGGTGAGTTCATGCTGCACTGTCCACAGTTCCTCTGGTCCTATGGCTTCTGCAAGGGGCAGTGTGTATGACTGCAAAATTCCTTGTTCAAGGTATCAGGAGCAAGAGATGTTCCCCAAACATAGAAAAGAATTTCCCAAAAGGCACCACACACCTTTCCTTGCATCCCATTGGCTGACTCTGAGTCACATGCCCATTAATGAACCAATCACTTGTGTGAGAGACAGGAGAATTACCATGAACCAATTAAAGCCACCCACAGATTGAAAGGAATATATGCAGCCAATTCCTCTAAATCTAAGAGCTCATAGTGGGGGAAATGGATATCTGGAAATAATGAGAGTCTGTTAAGGACATGTCAAGGTATAGTCCAGCAGCGTCCCCTGTAGGGGAACACATCCACCAAAGCCAGGAGGGAGAATGGTATTTTTACTAGGTACACTGGGACAGGATGGTGCTGTGCATTTTCTCCTCATCATAGGGGAAGCAGAAGGGAGTGGAGAGTAGGGAAGTCTAGGGGATAGTTTAGGCCTTCGGGGACTAGTCTTCCTCCTGTGCACTCTCCAACACCATGCCCTCCCTGGGCCCCACTCTAGCATGAAGCAAGACATCAAGCAGAGGAGCAGGGCTCCGATTTATGCTCTCTTTCTTTATTGTGAGCACTTTCTGTGAGCAGAGGGTGCCTCTTCCGTGCCGTACCTAGTACTTTGAGGCCCTGGATTTGCTCTTTTCTCCATATTTCTCCTCGAGAGCTTTCTGCAAATTCATGTTCATGGCATTTTTCTGGTGCCACCGTCCTACAGAAAGTGGAAGAGAAGCAGCACAGATCACTCAGCAGTCTCAGAGGGGCCCAGGCCCCAGCAGTGACCCACAGCTCTCCAAGTCCACCCAGGGCTCCCGTCCAGCTCTGGTTTCTGTCTGGGCCTCAGAACTATCACACTCTGCCCATGAGGGAGCAGATGCGCCTCCCATCATCCATAGCCCCGCCTACCCAGGTCATCTGTCTTCCTGCCATGCCAGTGTTCCAAGTCCCGCACCGATTTCTCCAGCACCTCTGGCGTGTAGGAAGCTTTCATAAGGCTCTTGGTCTCTTCGGGTGGCCCTGTGTGATACCATGAAGAAATCCCCAGAGTCCCAAGTCAGTGGAGGGGGGTATGTGACGGCTTGCTTATAACAGGCAAGTTTCCTGTGTGGATGGAGGGTAGGGAAGGGAAGGGGCAGGAGAGGGTTCCAGGGTACGGTAAGTCTGGATTCAAACCCCAGCTCCAGTATTGGGCAGCATGGCCTCTGGTAAGTTTTCAGCCTTTCTGAGCTTCAATGTCTTCATCAAGAGGAGTAAGATTCCCTTGCAATGTTGGAAAGACTGAATGACTGGACATTCAGCCGAGCATCTGGGTATGACAATCAATGCCTGTATCCTCAGAAAATTCATCTCAGTGCCCCAGATCAAAGCACAAACACGGAAATAAGTTACTGTGATGGATAAGAAGTTACTGTGAATCATCAGAAACACCAGAGAGAAGCCTAAATCCTGAAGAAAAACAAGGATTTAAATGATATAGCACAGGGGGTGAGGGTTGTGATGCTGGGGACCGAACCCAGGGCCTCAAGCATGAGCAAGCTACCACTGAGCTACATCCTGGGATAGCAACTCCTTGGCTAGACACATCCAGGTGCAACTTAGAGCAGCAGAGACAAGTAACTGAGGCAGGCAGTGTAGCACATACCTGTAATCCTAGCTACCCAGGAGACTGAGGCAGGAGGATTACAAGCAAGTTAAGATCAGCAAGCTTAAAAATCTGTCTCAGAAATAAAATTTAAAAAGGATAGGAGGAGCTGGGGATATAGGTCAGTGGTATAGCACTTGTGGAGCACAAGGGAAGCCCTGAGTTCAATCCCAGTACCATTAAAACAAACAAACAAAACTAGCTAGAAGGCATTTCACTTATAAAGAAAAATAATTGATTGGCTTAACCATCAAAGTAAAAAAGTGGATCCATATCAAAGTACTAATCAGCAATAATCATTATTCTAGATTTATCTATAATCCTTTTTTTTTTTTTTTTTTTTTTTTTTTTTTTTGAGACAAGGTCTCACTATGTAGCCAGGTTGGGCTTGAACTCATGGTGATCCTCCTGCCTCAGCCTCCCAAGTGCTGGGATGACAAGGGTGTGCCACTATGCCTGGCTTACAATCCTAAGAGTGACCAAAAAATTGACCTAAAACTGACCAAAAACAAAACCTCACTAGAGCGACCTCATGAACATGATACTTCGGGAAGAAAAAAAATGACCCCAGAAGAAAGACCTGTGATATGAGAAGGAATGGTAGACACAGAAAGGGCAAATGGAATAAATCTAGCTATGTATTCATTAGAACAACAGTACCAGTATCTAAATTATGAAGTGAAATCATTAAGATGATGACCTTTAACTTTTTTTTCCAGTTCTGGGGACGGATTGCGGGACCCTGCTCAGGTAAGGCAGACACTCATCGCTGAGCTCCAGCCCAGCCCTCTAACCATTTTTGAAGATTTACCATGTACACAAACAGTTCTAGGAGACTCACACAAACTTACGCATTGAATCTTCTCAGGCAGTTTAAGAAGCAGACACAATTAGAACCCCCACTTTACTGATGAAATCACTAAAGCACAGAGAGGTTAAGTCACCTGTCCCAAGTCATACAGTTAGTAAGTGAAGATCAAGGACTCTCAGATCCTGTGGCCCCAGGCTAAATTTAAACTACTTTGTTTATGTGGACAACTTTGTGAAATAATAGCATACAAACTGAGGAGAAAGTAAAGATAAAGCCTTCCACATTCTTAAACCATTTAGAAAAACTTGAATACTTCGATTAACTTTAGAATTTATTAACTCTACACATTAAAATGCCCAAGGTACCTACTAAATGAATAGGAAAAGCTGAGCGTGGTGGTGCACGCCTGTGATCCCAGCACTAAGGAGGCAGAGGCAGGATGATCCTTGTGTGTTTCAGGTCAGCCTGAGCTACATAGTGAGTTCAAGGTTAGCCCAAGACACAAAGCAAGGCCCCACCTCAAAAAAAAAAAAAAAAGAAAGAAAGAAAGAAGGAAGGAAGGAAAGAAAGAAAAAATAGAAAGAATAGAAAAGTACATAAATGGGGCTGAGAGGGCTGGGTGGGTGCAGTGGGAGAACAGTGCTTAGCATGAAAGAGCCCTGGGCTAAATCCTCAACTCTAAAAAAAATGGACTGAACAAGAAAGCTCAAACAAATCCAGAAAAGGAGAAAAAAGGATAGAAAAAGCACAAATAGAAAACACAAAATAAGGTCATGGAAATTAATCCAAATGTGTCAATAAGTCAAGTAAATATAAATGGACTAAGCCTACTGCTTCAACGACAGGATCAGACCACACCAGATGTTTTCCAGGTAAAAATTATTTCAGACGTACTTTTAAGATGCAAAATTTAAATTTTAAGGTACAAAGAGAAGACAAGTATGGAAGGCTAGAAAAAGACAGACCAAGCAAACACTCCCCAAAAGTAGTCTGGTCTAGCTATAGTGATAGCAGACAAAATAGACTGCAAAGCAAAGACACTGGGAGACATTTAAAAAGGCTGCAATTAATGAAGGTACTGCAATAATTCTAAATTTGCTGCATTGAAAAAAAATCTCAAAATAGTTAAGGCAAAATCATCAGAAGTGAAATGGATAAATCTGCTACGATAGTAGAAAATTTAAAGATTTATCTCTTAGTAATTAATAGATCAGGAAAGAATATTAATAAGGAATGGCAAGATCTACAGAGATGTAATTAACAAGGCTGTTCTCAACTAACACCAAGTCCTGCACCCAAGAGGCCATTTCACGCACACGTGAGTCATCTACAAAACTGCCCACTGGCTGGTTACAGAGCAGATCTCACCAGCTTCAAAGGACTAAAGTCATTACAGCTGTGTCCTTTAAGGACGATGCTATTCAGCCAGAAAAAGCCATTTTTAGAGGTTGGTATTTATGGCTTGAAACGCTTATGTAACACAACGTTAAGTTACAAGTTTGGACCAAAGCCCTCCATTTTGATGGCGATCAGATATCAAAGCAGCTGAGAAGCAGAACCTTCCTGTGGAACTTGGAAGCAAGTGTCTAAAACCTGCCAAAGAACTCATCTCTGTGCAGCTAGAAAATGGCTGGATGTGAGGAAAACAGCCAGGATGATCCTAAAGGATTTTTTTTTAGAGTTCTGAGTCACTGCTCCTGGGATAGAGGTGTCCACTTCCCACCTCTCTCATTAAATCTAGTTAGAGGGGCTTCATGGGTCCCTTCAGGATGCTATATACAGCACTAGAAGCTGGAGGACACAAGAAAAGCAAAGTGCTTCGGCCTGAGATGGCAGAGGACATGCATAGAGCCAGCAATCCCTTCACACATGCAGTGGGCACCCAGGGTCTGCACACCAGAGTGGGCAGTGAAGAGAAGATCAGCCTGGAGCCAGGCTAATCCCACCCCAAAGCTCCTGGAGCCAGTGAACCCCAGTAGAAGTTATGAGGATGCCACCCCAAAACATCAAAACAGCACAGAGCTTGGGGACTTGACAGCAGGAGGAAAAGCACATCCATGCACACTGGGACCCACACACAGAGCTCTGCAGGACCCACGGACATGCCCATGACAGCAAGACTTGGTTTCAAATCCTTGCCAAACAAGCAAGATAGTGAATCCATCTTCAGACAAAACCCCCATGTGGTCATTAGGGTCCCAGCCTCCCCAGCCAGCCCTGGAGCCTGGGAAAGGAGGCAGCAGCAAGTGACAGGACCGACCCCATGCAGGCCTAGGACCTAGAGTACCCCGGGGACCTTCTAGATCCCCCACCCAACCATGGTTCTTTCTCCGCACTGCCGCTCAGAAGTTTATTGTATTTGCTTACAGTTATGTGCCAAGATCTCAGTACTACACGCTATTATATTATTCTGTTAAAAAAGATCTATGAGGTGACTTTTGTTATCAGTCATATTTTACAAAGAAGAAAACTTAGGTAAAAGGGACAGAGGAACTGGGCACCGGGCAGAGCTGGGATTCAAACACCAGCTCAGTGGCTCCAAGTTGGTCCCTTGTCCCTGAGCTGGGTCACATGCCCCACCAATCCGCCCATACACGTACACACACCTCTACCTGGTTCCACACCTGCCCCACCTGCACAGTCCCGCGCAGCCCCACCCTTCTGGTCTCCAGCCCTGGAGTCATCGTTGGCTTCTCCCCCACAACACCCTCCACCCCCATCCCAACACCCCAAGGTCCCAAAACCACCCAGAAAGGCTTCTGCTCCACCTTCATGCGGGCTCAGCCATTTCTCCCACCTTGAGTGCCTGGGCTGTACCCTCAGGGGCTCTCAGGCTTCATTCTTGCCCTATTGGGCTCTGTCTGTCTCCACTCAACAGCCAAGTGCATCCATTCATAAATGGAAGTCTCTCCTTGTGCCAAATCCTGCTGTGGCTCCCAGTGAAAAGGCAACTGCCTGACCTCCCTTCCCCCTGAACCCCAGACTGGCCTGCCGCCTCCAAGCCTTTCCCCCAAGCCCCCTTGTCCGTGAGCTCCCAAGCTGCTCTCTGGCACCATTCACTTCAGGGTTCCCCCGTGCTAAAGAAAACACAGCAGTGATGGCCTGGGCTGTCCGGCTGCCTCTGGCCGGACTGAAGCAGGACTCACCCTAGTGCTTGCTTGCTTTCTCCCACTCTCTCTCTCCTCTCTCCCTTCCTCTGGTCATTCAAGACCTGGTACAGGTTACGCCACAGAATCTGGTCTATTTAATGCCAAATATACTCCTTGTTCATGTGGCACAAAGCACCCTATTTCATTATTCTTTTATTCTGTAATAATAATCCACCTGCCTAATAGACTGTGGGCCCGACATGGGCACCTACGATCCCCTTTACCTGCATCTGCCTTCCCCACACCCCATCTTCACCTTGGCACCGATTACAACCCCAGGCACGCACAGGTGCTCAAGAGCACACTACTAGAAGGCTATTGAAAGCCATTCTTTTATTGTGCTCAATTTCTGTAATAAAGCGTATATTTTTCGGCAGGGATAAGTATGGGATTAATCACCAGGCAAAAGAGTCACAAGTCCGGGCATTGATTCCCTTTGGGGAGGAAGCAGATGTGGCCAAAAGTACAGGAGGCGCCTCCAAGGTCCCCTGAACCGACCCCCTTCCCCTGGGAGGCGGCTCGTGTGCTCAGGTTGTGCTCTCAGTAGCATGTGGATTTCACACAGACTTCTGCGGGGATGGCAGTTTTCACAATTAAAACAGGTCCTGCACCTCTGCACCGGTTTAGATGCAGGAGTACACGTTGGCTTTAGTGTTAGGAAATCAGTTAATATGATTTAGTACCTCATTAACAGATCAAAGGGAAAATCCAATGATCACCTAAAACACTGCAGGACAATAGCTAATAAATCAACACTCATTCATATTTTTTTAAAAAGTAAAAGACAAACTGAGTAATAAAGGGAAGCCTCCATAACACGATAAAACGTATCTTCAAATTTCTCTTAAAAACATTGTATCACTTAGCACGACCCTGTCTCAAAATAAAAAATAGAAAAGGCTAAGGATGTAGCTCAGTGCAAAGGTCCTGGGTTCAGTCCTCAACACACACCCCCCCAAATGTATTCAGGGCTATGAAAAATAAACACTATTATGCAATGGTGACAGTCAGGGAAGGTATAAAAACACCCGTTTTCCTGCTCAGATGCACCGTCATGATGCATAAGTCAGCCAGAGGCCGGGGCAAAGGTGAGGAGAGTCTGGTGGTTGAGAATATGAACTCTGGCTGCCAAGGTTCAAATTCCAACTGTGCCTGTTCCTACCTGTGTAACCTGAAGCAAGTTGTTTAACTTTCCCATGCCTCTATTTTTTTTCTACCTGAAAAATAATGGGAATGATAGGATAAACCACATCAAGTTCTTGTGCATACTTGGAGCAATGTCTGTCATCTGTTACATGCTGTGTGTGAAGGCTACCATTATTATTATTCAGAAGAAGTGCCACAAACCTGCAAATATGTATTGGAACTGAAGTGAACCGAGCAAGGTTTCCGGATATAAGATTAATACACAAAAGGGGCTGGGGATTTAGCTCAGCGGCACAGCACCTGCCTGGCAAGCGCAAGGTCGTGAGTTCAATTCCCAGTACCGGAAAAAAAAAAGAAAGATTAATATACAAAAATGGAAACTGTGCTGAGCACAACAGTGCAAGCATGTAATCTCAGCTACTTGGGAGGCTGAGGCAGAAGGGTTGAAAGTTCGAGCCCAGCCTGGGAAACTTAGTGAGAATTTGTCTCAAAGTAAGAAAATTAAAATACATGAGGATATAGCTCATGCTCTCAGGCTTCAAAGTCCAGCATTGCTAAAAGGAATTTTAAACAATAATAAAAATAATAGCTTCTAAATATACCAGCAGGAGCAAAGTTAGAAAATGTTATAATTTAACTTAATTAAGGTTTTGGTGCTAGGTATTGAATGCATGCTAAGCATATATTCCAGCACTAAGACCCCAGCCCCAGAAAATTTAATTTTCAAAATGATACCATTTGCAATAAGTAGCAAATCTATTTATTATCCTGAATAAATCTAACAAAAAACTCATAATCTTTAGAAAAAAATTACAGACTGTTATTGACAGGTGTTGAAGGAAGATTTAAGGTAATGAAACTATATACCACATTTATAAATTATCAACCTTATTGTCATAAAGCTGATAACTGTCCCTAAATTGTGTGATAGATTTAATGTGCTTCCAATTAAATTGCAGTAGGGCTTTCACAGATATTGAGGAGCAGAGTCTAAAATGTACAGGAAAACTTGAAAGAACTGGAAACCCAAGACTGACTGGTGATGGGGGGGGTGTTGCCCAACCAGATATCAAGCTACTTCTAATACCTCTGTGAATGGAAGTGGGAGGTTTAAGGTCACTATCACGTTCCCTCAAAGAGAACCCAACTCCTTCCTAGTGCTCTTTGTCACTCCTGGGTTGTGAGGTCAGCAGCTTTCTTGCCTCGCTCTCTCTCTCCCATGATGGGACACCTCCCGAAGACCCAAAGCAGTGAAGCCCCACAACTGCAAGCCAACATAACCCTTTCCTCTGTATAAGCTGATCCTCACGGGCATTTGTTACAGTAATAAAAAGCTGACCAACAACACCAACCACCGTCACCTGTTGCACCTAGGTTTTCACAGTCACCTCCTCACTGGTCTCCCATTCCTGCCCCAGCTCCCTCAGATCTCTTCCAACACAGCACCTGGAGTGGTCCTTTTCCCTAAACCAGGCAGGGCCATTCTGCTTACCGCCCCAGCATGGCTTCCTACCTCCCTCAGGGAGAGTCCTCCCTGGGGTCTTCAGACCTTGCCTGCTTCCCCTCGGATTTCCCCTCCCACAGGTCCGTGTGGCCTCACCAGCCTCGGGCAGCCAGTGCCAAGGCCAGCCCAGGCAGGTGGAGCCTGAGAGGGACATGCAGACAGGCACAGTGAGACCTCAGTGTGCCACTGCCCCCAGGGCAAAGCCCTGTTCCCAGTGTTTGCCTGTTTCCGGTGTGTAAACACCGCTACCCCAGCAATCTTAAAATAGCATTTAAATGCCAATCAGTTCTAGGAAATGGAACAATCCACCCTTGTGAACTGGTGTGAGCTGGTCAGTGCACCCTTGGCACAGCTCTCCCTGCCAGGCTGGGTGATGGGGTGTGGGTGCTATGTTGTTGTTATTCTCTTATGTTTATGTGGAGTTTTTCACACAAGGCTGTATGTAAGAACTGCAGGTGATCATCGTTAGAGAAGGGGGAGGTGGGATCATGGAGCCCAGGAGGAGGACAATATGAGCTGTGTTCTCACCCCCTCCCCCAGCACGACTCCTCTCCAAACTCAAAGAAAAACTCAGAAACGCTTCCAAAGGATGTCTGGTTCCTCGGGTGACCGGGAGTCCAGCCAAGTAGGGGAGGTCGGCCAGGCCCTGGAGCTTGGGAGGTGGCGAGGGAGGAAAGAGGCCCACAGAAGGCTGAGCTTCTATAGCAAGGCCACACTGGAGCGTGGGCCCCAAGGGAAGCCCCGTGTGCTGGCTGGGACCCTAGGTGAGCACCGTGGAAAGCCCTCCCTCGGTCTATAGTGTCACAGCGAGGAGGTGACTGGTCCTGGTACTGAGGATAGCTCATGCACACGTCAGAAGGAAACCTTGAATCTCAGTCCCAGATCCACCTCAGATTACTAAGATGTCTCGGGTAATCAGCCTCAAATCCACCTCTAAAATGGACCTACTACTGCCACCACAACTACCTGCCCCCAACCAGGTAGGGCTGCTCAGACCCAAAGGAAACCTCTAGACGGCACAGCCTCCCAGCATCCTGCCTTTTCCCCAGGTAGCGCCCCCACCCCAGACTCTAGGTAAGGGACCTAATGGCCTGGAAGCTTCTCAGGACTCCCCAGTGACACAGGCCAAGCACCTTCATGTCTTCAGAGACTCTTGTCCACAGCCCAGTGAGGGCCACTGTGTCGTCAGCATCCCAGCATACTTGGGAGGCCGAGAGGCTCAGAGGTGAAGGACTCTACCAAAGGTCACAGCCAGCCAAGGAGGGAGGGGTTGAGCTGAGCTTTGAGCCCAAGAAACCCCGTATTGTCACTGTGATCAAAGGTGTCAGGCCAGCAGAACCGGGCCTCCCACTGGTAGATTAAGAAGGTAGAAGTGTCCCAGGGTGTGAGAGGCTGGCAGCCACCACCCGGCTGTGTCATGTGCACAGCGAGGACAGAGTGGCTGGGCTTGGACATGCCCAGCACCCAGCAGGATGGGTCCAGCATGAAGGATGCCCTCAGGGGCACGAAGTGGGAGTCCATGGAGCTGTGCCTTGTGGGGTTATGGATTGCTTAAGGGGTGGACATCCCAAAGGCTTTCCCCTTTCCCCTCTCAGTGCCCTAGAGACCCCTGGTGTTGCCCTCTGGCTGACCTTGAAATAAGTTTGATCGCATGTTGTAACCCAGATCATAGTAGTCGGAAAAGATGGAGGAGCTTTTCACAGGACTCTGGGTTTCACTGGACCATGAGCTTCTCTTCTTCTGGCCCTCCAAAGCTTCACTGATGGCGCTTTGAGCCTGATGGGAGAGTGGAACAAGTGGCAAGGGGGGGAAAGAGGGGCAAGTCCCACCGCGGCTCCCCTGCTCCTCTCTGACCCTGCCTCCTCTTTCCCCATCCATGGGGAGCAGCCCTCAACCCTCTGAAGGGCCGAGGAGCTGGAGAGGTTGGAGGCCCTGCCCCAGGCCCACTCCTCTTCCCTCCTATGAGGGCAGGGGCATCAGGGATGACGATGATCCTAAATCCGCCCCCCCTCTACCCCCCTACATTGAGCACCCACTGTGTGCTGTGCCAGGAGGGGCTTCACAGCATGACACTATTCCCACCACTTTATAACTGAGGAAACCGGGCCTGGGGCAGAGGCCAGACTCACCCAGCCCTATAGATAGATAGCTGGGGAGCCAAGAGCCCTGATTTGCTTCCCTCTCAGCCTCACACAAATCAAAGTCCTTAGCTCTCAACGAGGCCAACTCCTTCCTTATAGTAATGGGAAAACCGGCCTAGGAGGCCTAGGAGGCCAGAAATCTGGATTTGAGCTTCAGTTCTGCTATATAGCAGCTCCTGACTTTGGCAAGTCTCCACTCCTCTCTGGGCCTTCATTTTACCAAGTATTAAAAAGGAAATACTAACCCCTGCCTAGTTAATATACCATGTAGTTGCTATAAAGGTTGAAATGCTGGCTCTGATATGTCTCAGAATGCCAGAACAGGGAGGATGCATAGCATTTGACCAGAAATGGCAGGTGTATTTTATCTCCAGTTTCAACTGATTAGAACTGGCTGCCTAGAATGGTACATCATGTGGGAAAGAGTGTCAGCACTGACTAGTCATGTCTGCCACATAAGCAGGCTGGGCCAGCTGTAGCCCGTGTGCCATGAATTTGTCTAGTCTCTCTGCTTCGCTTTACAGATGTAGATACTGACACCCATGAGAGAAAGTAACTTATCTAAAGTTACCCAGCATTCAAGGGCAGACCCAGGATTCAAACCTAGGTCTTCTGATTCCCAAAAAATGTTATCTGTCCACTGAGTATTGCCTATCTTTAGAAATTTGTTCCAACTGAAAACATCCCATCCAAACAAAAGCTTTGTATCTGCAGAGTCATTTGGGCAGAGGCACCAAAATCTGCCCATGCAGTTTGGATTCTAGTCCCACAACTGAGTGAACTTGGTTAAGTTAAATCATCTTAGCCTTTGGCTCTTTATCCTTATAAAACAGAGATAATAATATGACTTTCTTTGCATGGCTGTTAGGAAAATGGGTTGTGGTGTTACATGGGAGGGATTTAAACAACGCTAGGTCTCTGGCACACAGCAGGTGCTCAGCAAGTACTGCATTCTGATGCTCCTATGACAGGGATTTCCTCAGGTTTCTTTGTGTCCTTGTTGTTAAGTCTCATGAGAGCCCCTCCACCACCCTTAGCCTCCAGGCCCTGCCAGGACACCTGCTCCTCGGAGACCAGCTGGTCCACCACTTTGCTCCCGAATTTGTGGCGAATGTTGTCAGGGATGATGTTGTCCTTCTGGCTGGGAGACGAAACTCTCAGCTCCTGGGTCTTCGCGTCGAGGCTTTTGCCCTGCCAAGGCCCCTCCTGGAGGGAAACGCAGCTCCCCCTCGAGGACAGTCTGGAGCCCCCCTTCTTCAGAGCCCCTTGTCCTGGGCCCACCCCCAGAGAATCCCTGCTGGCAGGGCTTGGGGGTGGAGGCCGGGCTACCTCCTGTCCTAGGGAGCTGCCTCCGGAGCTCGAGGCGGGCGGGGTCTGGTGCTTGAACTTGGAGATGTTGCCGTCTTGGGGCCCCCCTTTCATGCTGCCCAGGGGGCTCCTGGTCAAAGAAGTTGCACCTGAACATGGAGAAGAGAGACAGAGAGGGCGGGAGGGAAGGAGACTCAGACAGATGCGCAAAGTGGAGCCAGGAAGGGCGCAGAGAGGCAGGTGGGGCGGGGGAATGACAGACACAGCCCCGGGGGCCAGGGACAGACAGAGGAGAAGGGCGGAGAGATATGGGTGAGAAAGGAGAGACAGGGGAAGGGAGTTCAGTGGCCAGACCTCCCACAGGCCGGGGCTGCTCACACTGCTTTTGGCACTTGGAGTCACAGCCTCAGCCTATCTGGCCTTAAGGTCTAGTCTTATGGTCCAATAGCAGTGTTTTCTCTTAGAGATGCCTAAGTAATGGTGCATTTTAGAGCCATTGCATGGCAACTTAGGCCATGTGTTTTGTTTGGTTTTCAGGTCCTGGAAATTGAACACAGGGCCTTTGCACAAGTGGCATCCTCAGGCCTATTTATTTGTTTATTTATTTATTTATTGAGACACGGTCTCACTATGTAGTCCAGACTGACTTTGAACTCACTTAAGTACCCACAGTGATCCTCCTGTCTCAGCCTCCTGAGTGCTGAGATTATAGATGTGGGCCACCACCCTCAGCTGTATTTATTTTTTTGAGAAAGGATCTTGCTAAATTGTCCAGGTTCGATTTAAACCCACAGTCCTCTTGTCTCAGCCTCACAGAATGCTGGGATGACAAGTGTGCACCACCACACCCAGCCAGGACACACATTTGACATAACACCAAGCAGTATGCACCTTCTGTCTCCGTGCAAAACACGGAGGCCAAGCCCCTCACAGCCTACCATCACCCTCGTCCCAGGTCACAGCTGTAAACCGTTTGGTGAGCTTCCCTCCAAACCCCTCCAGAAGGGTCCTCTGATCTTCCTCTTAAAAGATGCCTAGTTTTGCTCCACTTCTGTCTGCAAATGAGGTCAGAGCCTATGTGTTGCTGTTAAAAACCAAACCAGTCCCTGGAGCCTCACTTCTGCCGTGATGGAGGCCAAACTTTCCCTCCCAGCCCAGCATCTCCCTGTTGCCTTGCTGTGGTCACTGGATTTGCAGCTTGGTCTAGGTTAATTTTTCAAGAAAAGGCAGCTGTGAGCACAGATTCAGGCTCCCCCTGTGCTGTCCCTGACAGCACTGATCTGGGACCCCTCACGCCCACCCGAGGGGGCTGCAGACCCTGCCCCAGGGCACCGGGCACAGGGCAGGCTTCTGCGTTCTCCTGCCCACCCTTTGGCCTTTGTCCTTGCCTCAGTCACCTACAAAAAGCAGAGGGAAAACCTGTGCCAAGATCAGATGGACTCTGTCCCTCCTGCTGGGCTCTGCAGAGGGTCTCTGGGGACAACGAAGACCAGCAGGAGGGCACGGCACCCCCTTCACAAAGGGACAGAGGCAGACAGCAGAGAGCAAGCGTGCTCAGCACCTGCCTGGTCACCCTCCGCCCTCAGCCTGCTCCTGGGGAGACTGAGGCCCAGCACAGGGCAGGTTCCCCTCAGTGCTCCACAGATTCAGGGCTCAGCACCACTGGGGCAGGGCCTGGCCTGTGCTCTTGGTGTCTCCTCTATGGCCACATGATGCTGGGACCGCCTGCTCATCCTCTGCCACCATTTGAGTTAGGAGCATTTCAGCGATCCCAGTGTGTCCTGCGTCTCCTGCTCAGAGAGCCAAGATGGTCACCGATTCATCCACTGAGTAACCACCTACTGAGAGCCAGGGGCTGGGTTATAAAGGAGCTCCTCTGAAGGCACAATGTTTGTTGAATGAATATAGGAAGGAAGGAAGAAAGAAAGGAAGGAAGGAAGAAAAGAAGGAAGCAAGCAAGGAAGGAAGGAAACTGGAAGTGGTGATGCACACCTGTAGTCCCAGCACTCTAGGAGGCTGAGACAGGAAGATGACAAGTTTGAGCCCAGCCTGGGCAACTTAGTGACTTAGCAAGACTTTATCTCAAAATTTAAAAAGTTTAAGAAGGGTTGGGGATGTAAGTCAGTGAGAAGGCCCTGAGTCAATCCTCTACCTCCTCCTCCTCCTCCTCTTACTACTGATGATGATGCGACAGGTTACCAGGCCCCTCCCAGAGCAGCTGTGTCAGATCTACTGAAAGGCAGAAATCTGAAGGTAAAGTCCCAGGGTCATTCCAGGCAGTGGAAGAAGCTCCCAGCAGGAGCGGTCACCGCCTCAGTGGACTGCTGTGTCCCCACCTGACCTGTGACTCCGCCACCCTCACCCATCAGGGACCCTTCCCAGAGTGGCCTGCCCCAGCCATGCCTGCCAGGGTCCCCCAGAGCCACCAGAGCCAGCTCTCTCCTCTCCCAGTCTCAGCCAGTTTGTTCCCAGGGTCACACCGTATCCCTCCCTTCGGCCACAGGCCCTGCACCGCGCCCCCCGCCCCACTCCTGCGGCTAGGTTGTACGCTCTGCCCTCCCACACCCTGCCAGGAGCATGAGGGGTGGCTCCACCTTGGTGACCAGGAGCACCTGAGGATGGGCCTGGCGGGATAAAGGGGCTCAGCAGCTCCTTCCCTCAGGGCAACGGGGTGGGGGTAACGAGGAGGGAACTGCTCCTGGCTGTGTCCACCGCGTCCTACCTGCTCGATGACCCAGTTCCATCGCCTCTTGCTCTAAGGCAGGTAATTCCAAGCTCGGTCCTGTGGACAAAGCCGCACACTTCATCATCCCTTCTCAGATGACAGAGCCTCCCAAGCAAGTATGAGCCCAACCTAGAGGGAGCCCACAGACATCCCTGGCCAGGCCCTGCTCTACTACTGTGCCCTCTGCCATGGCCGGAACCATCCACCCATCACCAGGGGCTCCCAGGCTCCTCGTCTTTAAAAGGCCATGGTTCCCACAGCTCGCCTCACCCCCACCCAGTCACTTTGGCCTTCCTGCAGATAGGGTGCTAACCGCTGTGACTGCTCATTCCTGGGCTGGGAAGGGAGCCCCAGAGCTGGTCCCAGGGAGCCCACTCCTGGGTCTTCCAACAGCTAGCTCTGCAGATTTCATATTTGTGTCTCTTCCTAGGAGAATCTTTTCTTTATGTTCTCTTATTTCATTACATGTGGGGTTTTTATTATGCTTTTGTTTGGCTGACTTGTTTTGTGGGTTTTGTTTATTTGGGTCTTTTGAGAGTTGGTCTCACACTGTAGTCAAGGCTGGCCTTGAAATCACTATGTAGCCCAAGCTGGCCTCGGATTCAGAGCAATCCTCCTGTCTCAGCCTCTCAAGTGCTGGGATTACAGGCCTGAGTTACCATGCCCGGCTTTTATCCTGATTTTTTGCGCATGTCAGAGTATGAACAACACAAAACCAAGTCCTACCAGGTAAGAGTCTTTATAATAAGAGAGAGTTGGTCTTTGAGAATTTCCAGTAAGTTTATAGCAGGTAGAAACCAGGTCAATTCTATTCCCTTGAAAAATTTCCCAGCAAAACCACCTATTAATTTTGGCATTATAATTATTTGGGGCTAGAGATGGAGCACTGCCTACTATTTGAGAAGTCCTTAGTTCAATTTCCAGCACCAAAAATAATTACATTACTGTTAATCTGGGGATCATGCAGATTCTGATGTGATACCCAATGACCCCTGCTCCCTGCTATTCTCACCCTCTTGAATATGGCTGGACCTGGTGACTTGCTATGACAAAAGCGGCAGAACGTGGGGACCATGTGGAGCCAAGGGGAGGTGGCCTCAGGCCAGCTGCACAAGAGGGACTCAGGCCCTTGTCCTGAAGATATGCACAAGTGTGTGACCTTGGGACTGGACCCTCCACTTGTTGGTCCTTGATGTGAAAACACAGCCCAGATGACAGCTTCCCTGCCACCTGTGTGGACCTTGTCATGTCACCACCAGGACCTTCTGTGGCAGGCTGCTGCCACTGGTGGCTCCATCTGGCCTCGTTCCTGTCCTCTGTCCCATCTCTGACTGTGGCTTTCACTCTGCACTCGTCTGACCCTGCTTGTTTTTCTGTGTGGATTCCAGGAAGCAGCTGTTGACCACAAAGCAGACCCCAAGCAGAAATGTCTGCCCTGGAGATAAGAGCTCACCACTGTCCTTGCATGACTCCTAGGAAAGGCTAGTTTCCACAGGAGGCCCCTGGGCGGCCCTCATATAAATATCTCCACTTCTCCAGAGACTGAGAGGGCGGAACTTGAACCGTGGAAGCGTGGCCTCCTCCAGGTTGCTTGTATCTCAATGAAGCCTGCTTGCTTTGACCACAACACTTGCTCCTGGGTGTTGATTTTTGGGCTATTAAACTCCCCAACCCGAATTGGGTAACAGCAGACAGTGTGAGATCATAAACTTATTTTAAACCTTAGAAAGAGCCAAGGATTGGGTGTTTACAGCCACATACAGAGTCCTTGAAGGAGACTAAGGCTGCGCCTCACACCCCTCCCAGTGGAATCTGAGGGCCTCTGGCAATCGTAAAAGCCCCCCCGGTACAGAGGGGTGCAGCTTCAATCTAGTAGGGTGAACTGTATGTGTCACAGCTTTCGAGGAAACTGTATTAGCAAAAACACTGTCAGTGGAGTGAAAGGGACAGAGATGGGACAAAACGAAAGAGACAGTTGGACCAGACTAAAAAGAAAAGACACCTCAGTGTGGATGCAAAAGTCCTCAGGGCAGAGCTGATGGTGACAGAGGCCCAGCATCTACCGGGCTAGAGTTCAAAGCTTCGGACCCCAGTGACCCCTCAGGTCTCCTCCTTCCTCACTCTTGAAAGCCACGCCTCAGCACGGCCCTGATTGTGGCTGGGGGAAGACAGCACAGGAAGTTCCCCTGGGAGCAGCACTGGGGCCCCCAACCCCTCTGAGCACAATCTGTCCCCCGGATTCTCAAGTGTGACGAGCGCTGTCATCAGAGGAGACTTCGGAGATCCCAAGAGCATATGGGCCTGTGTTGCACATGGAGGGGTCGTAGACTGTTGGGAGCCAGAGGATAGACAGTGGCAGGCGCTGAATGTCTCCAGTGTCCCCCAGTCCCTGTGTAATTCCCTCCCCCTGGGTGTGGGCTGACCTAGTGATTTGCTTCTAGCCAACAGAACAGGCCCAGCCGAGCAATGCCACCTCCAAGCTACACAAGATAGACTCCTGTATCATTCACACTGCCTTAAGATGGTGCTTGTTCCTCACTCTGATGGGACCCGGGGTCCTTGTGAAGAGGCCCAGGTGACAAAAAGTGAAGGGGCCACCAGCTGGTGAGGAGCCCAGTCCTGCCCGAGAAGAGGATCTTTCTCCAGTGGCCCTGGAGGCTGAAGCCGCAAGCTTCACCTAGACTGCAGCCTGGGAGCGACCCTGAGCTGGAGTCCCGGCACCTGCTCCTGCATCCCAGACCCTCAGGACTGGGAGATGGCGAGTGCTGCCCTTAAAGCCATGTCCTTCCAGCGTGCCTTGTTTACACAGTAAGGGGTGACCAACGCACCACCTCTGTCAGGCGCTCCCACCACTGGTACATCTGGTGTGCAGAGTAACTTTGATGGTGAAAGCGAGGGTCAGAAAGGAAGTATGGTGGGCACACTTGTAATCCTAGTACTGGGCAGGCCTAGCAGGAGTGCCCTGAGTTTGAGGTCAGCCTGGGCTGCAAGCCCGAAAACTACATCGTGAGAGCCTGTCTGAAAAAACAAAAATGGAAAAAATGGGGCGGGCGGGGGGAGTGCCAATAAAAGCTGAACAGTCGCAAGTTAACTTAGTTCAAGTTAGCTTTCTCCTGTCTCATCCCCGCCCCTGGCCACCCCCTTGACGCGCACCCCGGAGCTTCCTCTCTGCCCCAAAGCCACTGCCAGTCAGGCGGAAGGGTCGACTCACTGTCAGTTCTGACCTGGGAGAAAGGTCCCAAAAGACCTCGGTCAAGGAGGAGTGGTGGGTCTGGCTGCAGCCCAGCGCGTGTCTCTCACAAGCCGCCCTGAGTAGGGAGAAAGCAGTGAGATCCCAGGTCCTGGTGGAGTCCTGCTCACCTCCAGGTCTCTGCCTCACCTCCTCTATGACTTTCATAACATCAGAAAGCACAGGAACCTCTCCAGGGGGTGCCGAAGCCCAGGAGTGCAAAGTGGAGCTGCTCAAAGTGGACTGGGGGGGACCAGTGGATGGTTGCTAGGGAGCACCCTTCCCCCATAGTTGATTGGAGTTGCCATGGTGACCACTATTCACAGGGCTCTGTTACCTCAGAGGGCTCACAGACTCACCCTTGAGGGAGAGGGCCAGAAAAAGGGAGGACTGGGGGGACAGGAGAGGCCTTCATGTGTCATCCACTCTCTCATCCACTCAGAAATGTCCGCTGAGTGCTAAGTGCCAGCTTGTGTGCCACGCATAGAGGGCTCACATGCCACCAAATGCAAAGGAAGTTCTTGGGATTATAAAGGAATCAGAGAGCATGACTAACTCTGTCTAGGGAAAAGGAGCACTGCTCACAGATGGGCCATTTGAGCAGGATCTTGAAGAATGCATAGGAGCTCAGCAGTTTAGACCAGACTAGACTATTAGAGGTATAGGTGTGTTCAGGAGCAGATCTGTAGGTCAGGGGAGAGGGGGGGCTGAGACTGTCACAGTCAGAGACAATGTACAGGGATCAGGGACCAGAGCAGTAAAATGAAAGTGGGATGGGCCAGCAAGGACCCTCCCAATCCTCGAATCACAGGGCCGCAGATGAAGGTTCACGCAGTAGTCTGATTCCTTTTCTGCAGAGTGGAGAGGAAGCAGCAGGCATCGGCATGAGAGCTGGCTGGCTCCACGACCCTCAGCAAGGACAGGGGTAGGGGTGAGAATGGGGACGTGTGAGAGGTGTCACGTTTGTAAACTGCCCAGCGCAGCGCCTAGCCCAGAGAGATGTCACAATGCCGAGCTCACAGCACAAGCCACCCAACCACAAACCCTCATGGCTCCAGGCTTCAATCCTTTAATCCACCTCTCCCCCCCACCAGCGCCCGGTCCTGGTCACCCCCATCTCCTGTCTCAGGTTACACAGTTGCCTCTGCATTCATCTGCTTTTTCCTTTTGTCTCCTGTAAGAATTATGCATCGCTGCACAACGATCCTCCCACAGACCTAGCAGTTAACCACTCTTGTCTGACCCCAGCTCTGTGGGGCAGGGGTCGGAGCACGGCCGCTGGCTTCTCTGCTTTAGAGCCTTAAAAGGTTACAATCAAGGTATCGGGCTGCAGTCTCATCTGAGGCTCCCCAGGGGACAGATGTGCCTCCAGCTCCCCTGGTCGCCAGCAGGACATACTCCCCACAGTCTATTGGACTGAGGGCCTCTGTGTCTTGCTGGTCGCCTAGAGGCCAGCCTCAGCTCCTTGCTGGGTGGGCCCCAATATGCCACTGAGTTTCCCAAAGCCTACGAGGCCCTGCCTGTCCCCCACCCTCTCCTCTGACCCCGGCTCCTCCCTCTCCGCCAGTGTTCCCCAGACCCCAGCCATGCTGCCTCAGCTGTCTCTTGCACACGCCAAGCACACAGGCCCCTGGGCCTTGGTACAGCTTGTTCCCTCTGCTGCAACCTCCTTTTCACAGTGTCTGCAGGGCTTGCTTCTCCACTTAGGTCAGGACTCTGTGCACTTCTGGAACCCCTCAATTTAAGAAACATCCTAGCCCTTCCACATGTCCTATTGCCTTGCCTTGCCTTGCCTTGCCTTTCCTGCTGTTGTTCCACTCCACCTCCTGCCACTCAGCACACGTCTCTGCTGGCTGGGAAGCCCCTGCCCAGTCCCGGGCACCTCACCTGTCTGCGGGCAGGAGCTTCCTAAGCGTGCTCACTGCGCAGCTCAGCCTCAGGAGAGACAGGAGGCAGAGTCGCCACCGCCCCCAGCAGCTGCTTGCAGACCCATCGAGGTACCAGGAGGGACCTGAAGCTGGCATGAGAAAGGCTGCAAGGAGTTGGGGCACCAGGCACCCAGACCGCCCAAGAGCTGCCCAAGAGCTCTCTCTGCAGCTCCCGTATCAGCCTCCAGATGCCCCAGCCTGGCCCTGCAGCCCAAGCCGGTCTCCCCACAGTTCCGGAGCACCTTCTGCCCCAGTCCTAGCTTTGGGGCTGGGTTCCTCCAGCCTGGACGTGTTCCCTGGGGCTCTGGGACCTCATCTTTACCCAGGGAGCTAGAGAGCAGGGAGACAGGAACCAAGAGTAGATGAGGCCTACGATCATGCTGCCACCCTGGGGAGGGTTCCAGAAGAACCTGTTTCTGGGAAACAGGAAATGCAGCCTGTGGGTCCTGTCGGCGCCCACTGCTCTCCCGGACCCACTGCTGCCCAGCCCCCTCCCTCCACCCTCCCCAGTCCTATGCTGAGCCAAGAAGGGGGCCTAAGACAGAGGCCGCACCCCTTTTGCCTGCTTCTCAGCGTTGTCTCTTCTAAGGCAGGGGACGCCTCTTTGGACAGTAGCTTCTAAGGAGCTGGCCCTCACCTGGGGGGGCTGGGCAAGAAAGTGGTGCCCACTAGGCCTGGTTCGCCAGTTTGACTTCCTGGCACCATTTCCCACTAGGTGTTCAGACACCTCACATGGGGCAGGAAGAGGCTGCCTGTGCCAAAGTGGGATGAGAAAGCAGTGTCCTCGGGGTGGCTCTCCCAGCAGGCACTGGGAGCTTCTTTCCCTGGTGGAGCCTAAGGAACGTGATGGGGAGAAGCAGGGAGCCAATGCAGAGCTAGGGAGAGACAGCAAACGCGCTAGTCAGAAAAAGCACTTTATTCCAGTATGTAGGGGAGCAGCAATCTCTGCATAGAAATTCTAAAAAAGTGTGTCAATCTCCTTTGCCTAAGAACCGGCCGCCGCTCAGGGCAGCTCATTAAACCGGGGTGGGCGCTGCGGTGTGCAGAAGACAGAACTGCTCAGGCCTTCCCGCCCTTCCCCTGGGACACACGGGTTTCCGGGGGCGCCCGGCGGAACCACTCCGACCAGGAGCCGTCATACACGGCCACATCGGGCTTGCCACAGAGGTAGGCGGCCAGGGCGATGTGGCAGGCGGTGACGCCCTTGCGGCAAGTGGCGATGAGGGGCTGCCCGAGGTCCACCTGCTTGGCCTGGAACATGGCGCGCAACTCCTCAGGGCTCTTCTCGAAGCCGTCCTTGGTCAGGAAGTCCATGAAGGGCATGTTCAAGGAGCCCCGGATGTGACCTGAGTCCAGTCCTGGAGAGGGGCAGAGGACTTGGGTTAGGGAGGGCAGGAGGAGGGCGGGGACTGGTGGGACCTGGAAGTTGTCACCAGCTACAACCAGCACAGGGAGCTTTGCAAATAGAAATAATGTCTTTGCTCTTTCTGGGGCTCAGTTTAGAGTCAGCTGCCCCTCCCCATCCCATAGTTGGTGCCCATGACTTAAGAGGCCTGCACCCCTCCCCTAAAGCCTGTCTTAAAGGAAGGATGTATGAAATCACACTGCCCAAGAAGACAGGGGAATGTACGAGGACTGGCTCAGCCGACTAGCTAACTTTTTCACTAGCTTTGCCTTGGGCAAATCATCCCACCTCTCTGTACCTCAGTTCTGACATCTGTAAAATGGACACAGTGGTACAGCCCTGTCTCACGGCATTATGGAAAACAGCAAACGGGACAAACTGCTGTAGATGCTCTGCACTGTGGTGATTGCTGAGACTGCTGTGGTGAGAGAGAAACAGAGTCTGCCCCCCATCCAGGGGGGATTAGGGCCCAACAAAGAAGACAGATGCCAGATAACTTCATCACAATCCCAACATGACATCACTCCACCTACAAGTGAACACACTGAGCTCCCGGACACAAAATGGCTCACCTCAGGCCACAGAGAGAATGAACCCCAGGCCCCTGGATTTCCTGTTAGGTGCACAGGTGTGAAAAAAGCCTGTGACCTGGTGTCAGACATAAGTTCAAATCCTAGCCCTGCCTCTTGCCGGCTGGGTGATCCCAATCAAGTCATGTCACCTCTGTGAGTCTCAGTTTCCCTGGGGGTAAAATGAGAACCAGGGTATGCCTGTGAGCAAGGGGAAAGTGACACAAGGAAAGCAGGGACTCACCCACTGCTGCACCTCTTACGGGACAGGCGCAGGCTGTGTGGTCGCTTCAGGCCCCTCCGAGGGCCTCTGAGGTTTGGAAGGAAGCAGGGTGGGCCTGGGCTGACCCTGGGGTCCTTCTAGAACTGTCTTACCCAGTGAGGCCTCTGCTAACACCGACTTCAGAAAAGCCAGCAAGAGGACCAGAGGGGATGGGCCCCAGCCAGAGCTGGCACCACCCACAGGGCCCAGGCCTGGTCAGCTGCTCAGCATGCCCAGGATGCTGCTCTTCCTCAGACACCCGCACCCACAGACACTGGGCACAGGGAGGCACTGGCTCAGGTTTGCCCCCATCTTTCGGGGCTCTGCTTCCTTCCCACATCCCACCACCACATTAAGCCTAGACCGTGGGGCAGGGCAGGGCCCTGTGATGGGAGCAGGAGGGAAAGGACCTGCCTGGTGTGAGCAAGGTATATCCTGGAGCCATCCGCCACAGCATAGAGCCAGACAGGCTCTGCCCCTCAGAGCCTCAGTCTCCCCTTCTGCTTAATGGGGAGAAAGGCCCCCAAACCTCATACACATGTGGGGAAGTTTACCCCCTGCAGATAAAAGCCCCTAAATGACCCCAGGCACACAGCAGGTACACTCAAGCCAGAAATGTCCCAGCCCCTCACCCCAAGTTCCAAAGAGGATTCCACAAGAGCTCCTCAGACTGAACAGAAGTTCAACTGGTGAATTCCAGCTTCCTATTTAAATCTCATCTTTTTTGTCTGAAGACTTCAGCCTGAGAGCAGATGAGCACTCAACCTGCTGCAAGGAGCAGCTGATCTGCCGGTTTCCAGAACTTTCTAAAGAAACTCAGCTGTACACGCTCAGCGATCAGCATGCAGGCGAGCTGAAGGGTGTTTAGACGCACGAACATTTGAACGCTGCTTGGTTTCCTCCCCTCGCACTGCAGATGAAAGAGGTCGGGGCTTCTGTGGCACTGGGGCTGCAGCCGGGGGCCTGCCTGGGTAATTTCAATGAGCAGGAGTGACCACGGCCGCTGCAGGGTGGCAGCACCAAGGTCAGCCTGGGCTGGAGCCCAGGAGCATGGCCAACTGGAAGAACGGGCCCCGGGGCTGGAGGCAGCACCTGCTGCTGCTCCCCTCCCCACCATCATCAGCGTCACAGTCACGGCAGCCCCTCCTCACCACCCTCGTACCTCCATTCTGCAAACTGGCACCAGGCAGCCCCAGTCAGCGGGTTCTCCTGGGAATTCTATCCCCCACAGCCCACAGTCCTCACAAAGCTGCGGATGTTATTTATCCTCCCATCCGTGAAGGGAAGCCCAGGCTCAGCGAGGGGAGGTAACTTGCCCCAGGACATGGGCCAAGAGTATATGAAGTCAGGTCAGCTGGGTGCCAAAGTCTGTGTTCTTTGCAACCCTCAGCCTCCTGAGAAAAGGAAGCTGAGGCAGGAGAATGGATGAGATGACCTCTCGTTCCGCCACTGCTCAGGTCTAGGAATTTGTGTTCTAGTTTTGGCAAAGAATGTATGTCAAGCTGGTGAGTTTACATTCTACAGGCCACAGATAGGTGCAGATGTTCAAGGCCAGGAGAACCTGGTTGGTCCTTTGGGCTTTCCTCCTAAAGCTGCCAGAGAATCCAGTGCTGAAAAGGAAACTACCAGAATGCTGCACAGACAGTGGCCCCAGGCCCTGCGAGGGGTGGGACCCAGGCAGCATGTTCCTTGGCTCCATGAAGCAACACCAGCAACACGGTGGTGCGGCAGTGACCTTTCCCCAGGCCCCATGTTTGCCACCGCTCACCCCACCCACAGCAGTGGCCTTGGGGAGCAGCTGGGCTTTGATGCCTGCTGCACCGGGGTCAAGGCTTGGCCACGGTGCCCTGCCGTGGCAGAGAAAACCCTTCTCGGGCCCCATGTGCAGAACAGGACCAAGCCCCGCCCACCCTGTCCCCTCCCTTTGAGGGCCATTAGGGGTCAACCCCTCCCTCAGGCAGGGGCAAAGAGATCAATGGTCACAAAAACTGCCACTGTTCTTGTCCCCATCCCTCTGACAAGGCAGGATTCCTTTTGTCAAGGGGAAGGGACCTGCTTGTGGCCACAGATACGCACCACACCCAGAGGCAAACTTAGGTCCCTCTGATTCCTACCCTGTACCCTCTACCAAAGGACCACAGGGTGGGAACACAACGCTAAGGCCCTAGGTGGGTAGAAAGTAGCCTCAGGTTTCTAAGGCCCTGTTCCCAGTTCCTCCTTGGGGTCACTCCCTGCAGGACTCTCCCTGTCCCTAAGGCCTCCCCACTGTTTTACTTCTGGAATGCTAAGGCCACAGGTGCCTCCTTTACCCCACCCAACTGAGGACCATGAACCTGGCAGAGTCATATGTACCTTTATGTCCTCAACCATTTTATATGGGAGGCAGCAAATCCTCTTAGAGAATGACGGAGGGAGGTGGTATGTCTCCTATGTTATTCTCGATGGCCCTGGACATTGAACAGTTGCTTATCTCCTCAGAACTGCAGTCACTGCTACATTTAAACAAGTGCATGCATGCCAGGTGGGTAGGGTGACAGAACTCTGATCGTTTTAGGGCAGGGAAACCCAAGGCCAAGCAACTGGATTAAGATCACAGCACAAAGCAGGTGCCACACTGAAGTGAGAATCTCTGGAGCTGTCTGGAAACTAGAGTGGGGATTGGGCCACAGAGAAGGGGTCGGACTTCAGAATTCAGGGCTCTCAGGAGATATTACCAAGAGCAGGCTATTTCTCCTCTCTGAGCCTCAGTTTCCTCCTTAAACAATGGGCACGCTATAACTGGGGCTGGCATCACTTATTTTTCCATTGGCTTCCAAGCAGGCTGGGAAACAGCTAGAGAGCTAACTCCATAGCTCATCCCCCAAGGGCAGTTCTAAGTCCCAAGGAGAGAAGGCGCCTGAACCAAGACCAGAAGGGGGCCGTGAGTGTCCGGTGCCAGGAGTCTCTGGACGGTGCCAAATGAACTTGAATCTTCTGTTCCAAACCTTCAGGGAGCAGGCCAGGCAAGGAAAGCAGGGGGCTGGAAAACGCTGGGCAAGGAGGGCAGAGTCCTGCACTCTGCTGGCTCCGTCACTAACAGTTTGTGTGGCCTTGACTGCCCTGCCTCTCTGTGCCTCAGTCTCCCGTTTGTTTCAGACCCTGCAGCTCTGAGACTACAAAATGGCTTTCCCAGCATTCTGTTCTCTCCCTCAGAGGCACACAAAGAAACAGACATTTTGCAATAAGTTAGACAAAAGGTTGCACTGGAGCAAGATCCTGCAGAGGGGCTCTGACTAGGGGAGAGCCACCCAGGAAGTGCCAGCCGCCAGTCTTGTGCCCTGCGCCCAGGAAGAGTAGAAACTGAGGTTCTCTCTGGTTAGGAGCTTCTAGAAATCAGCACTTCCTCTTCTAAGGGTGCCCCTGCCCTTCAAGTAAAGTACATCCTCCAGGCCTCCCCTTCTATCAGAAGGAACTCAAGAGCCACCTCTCGAAAGGCCTGGTAGAGGGAACTCCCTCTGAGTCCCAGGACAGTGGATGGGTCAGAATGGCATACACCTAGGTTTAGAGTACTGGTTTGAAACAAACAGTCCTGGGTGCAAATCCTGCCTCTGCCATGGAGCAAGTGGCTTAATATCCTGGCATCTACACCTTGTTGGATGGGATAATGCAGTGCCAAGCATCTGGCATGAGCTGGAAGCTGCTATTAACAACTCAGACAACTGTAAACAGACCGCAGTTGCTCAAAAAGGTTATCAAGCAGGCTGCCCTTGGCAAACACCAGTCTGGGTCCCGGGAGAGCTGGGAGGGCAGGAGCTGGGGAGTGACACTGCTGGTGGCTGCAAGGGTTTCTTAGAGACTCGAGAAGCTGGGTGTCTTGGGAGGCTTCTGTGCAGCGATGCATATGCTGGCTCAGGGGCATGACGCCCTTTGATACGCCCTAGTGCACATGGGGGCACTGGAGCGTGGGTGTGTGCACTGGCGGACACCTCTGCTGATGCTGGGTCACTTGTTAGCACGTGGCTATGGCCACACATACACAGGTCCTTGTGCACCAGAGCTGAAACAGCCTTTGGGCTTAGGTGCACCCTCTCATTTTACAGATGGAAAGACTGAGACCTATGTGAGACCTATGTGAGGGCAAAACCCAGGGAAGGTGCCAGTCATTCCTACCCCATCCTCCCATGGACCACCTACCCATCAGGACACCTACCTACTGCATCTGGCTCTGGCTCGGTGCCCAGGTACCGGCCTTGGGCCCGTGAATCCACCAGCTGGAACCTTCTAGATTGGAGGTTCTCCAGGACCTGCTCATAGGTCTTCAACAAGGAGCGGTCCAGTGTAGCTTTGAAAACAGCAGGCTCTGGGGTTGAAGGTTCGGATGTTACTGGGTGTCCCTCCTTCAGCCAGTTCCGAAAGCCACCATTGAGCACTGACACCGTGCGGTGGCCAAACACACGGAACATCCACCAGACTCGGGGAGCATAGAAGCTGCCCAGGTGGTCACCATCATACACCACCACGTGCGTGTCGTTGCTGATGCCCAGGCGGCCCACGTAATTCCCGAAGTGCGCCTCGCTGGGCAGCATCATCTCGTAGGGTGACGCCGTGTCCCGGCACTCCTCTATATCAAAGAAGGAGGCGCCGGGCACATGGCGCTCTTGGTACTCCTTGCGGGCCTCCCGGGTGCCTGGTGAGTACCAGGATGCGTCCAGCACCCGCAGGCTGGGCCCCAGCTTGCCACTCCGGAGGGACTCTGCCAACCACTTGGTGGAGACCAGAGCCCGGTAGAGCACCTGATGAACCATGGTGGCAGCTCTGTGTGTCACCTGGCGCAGGTGGGAACCAGCAAAGAGGTCTGAAAGGACTGTAGGTGCAGTGGGTGGGGCGGGGAGGAGGAGATGTTTTCCTCCCAGGCACTCACCCAGCGAGCAGTGTCAACAGCACCCCAGCGAGTCTGGGGCGAGCAGCAGGCAGGTCTGCAGACTCCCTAGGAAAGCCGGCCCCGCCCCTCCGTCCCGGTCCCGCCCCCCGCGCGGAAGAGGGTGGGGCAAAAGTTTTTGAGCTCTTGGGTTGGACAGCAGGTGGGGAAGACGCCAGGCACCCATAAGCTACAATACCCGCTCTCCGGATCCTGCCAGAAACGAGCGGTGACCAGACGCACAAGATGGGGGAAGACAGGCCTTGAAGACTTCTTCCTGGGGGGCAAAGGGTGGGCTGCGCTGGAGTCCCTGCGCGCCCTGGCCTGCGCCCTCGCCAGCCCTTCTGCGCCCTTTCTAGTCAGCCGGGACTCGCCGGCGTGCAGCCCCCGGCTCTCTGCCCACTGCCCTAGTTGGGCCTGGGGTTTCCGTGCACCCCGCCCCGCTCTCTCCACGGGGACCCTACCCTAGGCCGGAGGTGGCCCGTCGCACTCACTCGCCGGGGCGCTGCGCGAGTGCTCGCCCTGACCTCCGGAGAAGCAGGGGTGCCGAGAGCTAGAGCCGGAGCGCCCCCGGCGGCCTGCACCATCGCCCGCCACCCGCGGGGGGACCTCGCGCCGTCCGCCGCGACTCCGAGCTGCCCCCCTCGCCGCCGCTCGGCGTCCGGGCTGCCACTCCGCTCGTGGGGACCGCTCAGAGCCCCGGAGGGCTCCGGGGACGCCGGGCAGCGCGGGGGCGAAACGGGGCTGGGCGGCGCGGCGCGGGTGTCCCCCGGGCCCGGCCAGTGGAAGGCGCGGGCAGTCGCGGATACAAGGGGGTTGTGCCCAAGTTTCCTCCTTTCGGCCCAGGGCAGGTTGGTGGCGGAGGGAGCGGAGGGTGCGGGCGCGGGGAGGGGGGCGCCCTAGCGGGGCTGGGGAGCCGGGAGCCCGAGAGCGGGTTAACTGCTGCCGCCGGCTGCGCCTCGCGGGGCCTGGCACGGAGAGAGGGCGCTGTCTGGGCGCAGCGCGGGGCCCGAGCGGAGGAGTCACCCGCTAGGAGAGAGGGGCGTGCTGGGGACCCCTAACTTCGCCCGACGGGGACTCTGCCGCTGCTTGGGACCACCTGCATGGGGGGGTGGCGAGCACTGAGTGGGGTGGGGTGGAGTGACCTGGCGTCATCAGAGAAGGTAAGAAGGAGAGAGGAGGACATATAAAGCCATTTGGAGAGACGGGGAAGACAGCTGCTGACCCCGAGCCCCCCAGGAATAGAAACCCGTGGGGAATTTGCTAAGGTGAAATGAAAATAACGTTTGCACTTGCTTGGGGTGACCTTGCTGAGCACTCCGAGGGTGTTAATTAAATCTGTAAAGTCCTGCCGGGTAGGCCAGAAACTTTTTTCAGCTCAGGAGCACCAGGCAGAGGGAGATGCCCAGGGCACACAGTGGGTTTGACGGGTCTGAAGCCCACGTGGTGGGTGGGATCCTTTGTTTACCTGGCTCATATGGGACGGCTCAGGCTTCTTTACAATATTGCCTTTGTTGTTAACGACCTGTTCATTTATAAGTGTGGGGCTTGCTTTGTTTTGGTTTTTTGAGACAGAGTCTTGCTTATGCAGTTCAGGCTGGCTTTGAACTCACTATGTAGCCCAGGCTGGCCTCAAACTTTCGGCAATCCTCATTCTCAGGAGTGCTGGGATTACAGGTGTGCGCCACCATGCCCAGCAATTGAGTTTTTATAATAGCTGTTCCCCAACCAGCTGGCAAAAAAGTACCAAAATCGAGCACTGGTGCTTGCAAACCTGTGGGACACCACCTCTGTGGGCGGTGCCCTAGCCTGGAACGCTTTTTCCCTAGGGGACCTGCCCTTTTAAAATTTGGTTTTGTGCAGAAATACTTGTTACATGTTACAATTACTTGTTGTTTGTTGCATGTTGCAAGATCCAAACATTAATAAGCATTCATCCAGGGAATCTTCTAAGCTGGGAGCGCAATAGTGGGGGAGGAAAGGGTGAAGGAGGGTCAGGCTGGGGACATCCTTGAGTACCTGAGACTACCTGGTCAGCGCAGGCCATCTGGGTGCAGGGTGGGATCACACTTGGTGCAGTTTTGTGCCCCCTGAGATGGGCCTGAGACTGTCCCTTATGTCTTGGAGCATGTTATCCCTCCCTACAGGGAGCCTGGTCCACTGTGCACGCAGGGACCAGGGTCTTTTTCCTAATTTCTGTCCCCCTGGGTACAGGCAGAACCTGCCCTCCCTACCCCTCTAGAGCCCACACACCTTTGTAACAACTGCCCACCAAGCAGAGTGGGGGCAAGGTGATCTCTAACCTCTTAAATCCTGTACAGCCTTGAAATTCTCAGATTCTTGATTTGCTCCTGTGGATCCAAGGGTAACCTAAGAATAATGCAAGAAATAATAGGATTCCATGAAACCATTCTTAAAGATTATTAAAACCAGCTACATGTTTTACATTATAGTGGTGTCTCTACATTCATTATTTAAATGTCTCTGTAAGAGGTAGAGGTTGGAGGTACCATTCTAAATAATGAGCTGCGCAGGGCCCCTGACATACCCACCATCGCACAAGCAGTTAAGTGGGGGGGGGGTCCCCAAATCAGGGATATTTCTACTCCTAATAGATCCTTGGGAGGGAAAAGGAAGGATCCCCAAGAATGATAGGGGCACAGGAATTGCTGTGGTCCATAAGTGGGATCTCCAAGAAGGAGCCTGTGCCTTCTCTCAGCCTAACCCAGCTGTGGAGTAACCCAAAGATAACAAGCTTGCCCTTTCCCCACAGCCTTCTCACCCTGAAGGTCAAGCTGAAGTTCCTGTCCCCACCCCACCCCCACAAAGTCTCAAATTACTTCCTCAACTGCCTGAGTGTGCAGAGGCCTGTCCTCACCCTTAGGGCCTGGTGAAGTCCAGCGCTGGACCAAGTGGCTTCCTGAAAGCCAGCTGTGACAAAGTTGTGGTGGTGGTGGGCAGATAGCATTGCATTAAGCCCTGGTCACTATGGAGCTGGGGAAGGAGCGGGCTCAGGAACAGCCAGAGCTGCCAGTTACCTGGTTTTTAAAGGGGGCACTGTAGTACCCACTACCCAGGACTGTGGCCCTAGCATGTGGCCTGGACCACGAGGACCCTCCATCAACACTGCTTTCTAGCTAATCCTTCACCTCCTTGGCAGGACTGCCTGGCTTGCATGCGAAGCCATGCGCCCTGCTGGGGGCCCCTTTTTCTCTAACATGCACAAGGTCCTGTGCACTATCAGCCATGCAACCCCAGGGGCTGAAGTGGTCCCAGTGATTACAAAGTCTCCATCCTGGAAGGCAGAGGGCTGGTGCATCTCATGCAGGGGAGGGGAAGGAGAGGCTGTGTCTCTTGCTGCTGCCAAAATGGCCCAAGAGAAAGCTGAGGCTGGATGCAAGCTCAGCCTCTCCAGATTGCTAGGGCCAGCCAAGGATGTGGTGCTGAGCCCTTGGACTTCTGGACCAGGTCACCTAGCTTAGAGCTTGGTGCCACCAGGCGCACTTTAAGCACTTCTATGAGCCTTAATTCTCTCAGTGACAAGACCCACCCTCTTAAGATGACTGGTTCAATAAGTACTTGCTAGTCTGCTGTGCCCAGTATTGTCCTAAGGTATGGTGAGGATTAAATAGCGCACAGGAAAGACAATAAAGTCCAGCTACTGTTCCTACAGGGCGGCACCTTATGGGACTGCTTGATGACGGAGTAATGAGCTCTGACAAGGATTTGGTCCCTGCCTTTTAGGGAGGGGCTGAAACTTTGACCCTGCGTACCTTAAAGGGCCAGCTGGAGTCCACGAGGAGCCACCAGACCCTCTCCAGGGTGGCCTGGCAGGGGAAGCCTGTGTGACCAAAGTCTGTGCTAGGGCTCACCCCTAGAGGGTGTCTGCTTTCCTGGACTTTGCCCCGGAAACCACCTCACCCACTGGCACAGCCCAGGGGTGTTGCACTGTCAGTTTTGCAACCTGGGACCAGTCTCTCCCTCCCTTCGCTACTGACATCCTCCCTGTCCCGCAGGCCTGCAACCCCCGCGTCACCACCACCTCCGCCATGGCTGCCACGCAGCTCTTCCGTGCGCTCGTGTCGGCGCAGTGGGTGGCGGAGGCGCTGCGGGCCCCACAGGCCGGCCGGCCCCTGCAGCTGCTGGATGCGTCCTGGTACCTGGCCAAGCTAGGCCGGGACACAAGACGCGAGTTTGAAGATCGCCACATCCCGGGTGCCACTTTCTTTGACATCGACCACTGCAGCGACCACACTTCGCCCTATGACCACATGCTGCCCAGCGCGGAGCACTTCGCAGAGTACGCGGGCCGCCTGGGCGTGGGCGCCACCACGCACGTTGTGGTCTATGACACCAGTGACCAGGGCCTCTACTCAGCACCACGCGTCTGGTGGATGTTCCGTGCCTTCGGCCATCACGCGGTGTCTCTGCTGGACGGCGGCCTCCGCCATTGGTTGCACCTGAATCTTCCGCTCAGCTCTGGCAAGAGCCGCCCTGTGCCCACCGAGTTCAGCGCCCGGCTGGACCCCACCTTCATCAAGACCTATGAGGACATCAAGGACAACCTGGAGTCCCACCGCTTCCAGGTGGTGGATGCCCGAGCCGCCGGCCGCTTCCGCGGCACTGACCCGGAGCCCCGAGACGGTACCGGGCTGCGGAGAGGAGTGGGAGGTTCCGGGGGGCAAGGTGGGGGGCTGAGCCTCACTCACTGTATTCCTTAGTGGGGTGATGCTGCTGCTGGTCCCTCCCTCCTCGGCTTTGAGCAGTGACCACCGCAAGTGCATTGGGAATCCAGGATGCCATTTCTAAGTGTGAAAACCCAAGCTGCCCCCAGCACTACGGTGCTTGTGTGCCGTCCCTACAGAATGATGGGGGGCTGCTCTCAGTTAGGTCTGGGCAGTAGAGCCTGAGTTGGTAGAGCAGGAGGAAGAGGAGACTGAGGCTGAGGCAGGAAGGAATCTCAGGAGCATAGCTTGGGGAGAAGAAACATAAGGTGCACCAAACAGGGTGGTTGCTGCCCCCAGCCTGCTGGAGCTGTCTGCTTGGCACTCGGTTTTCCCAGGAAAAAACCCTAGGAAAACCTGGTAGAATATGGGAGGGGTCCCCACAAAACTGACCTTAGTGGCCGGGTCCCCCCACCTCCCTACCTGTTCTCTGTACCTGTAGGTTCTGGATTATGGCTTTAACCAGCCTCAGATCAAAAATATTTGGGGAAAAAAATTTTGTCTATATTGAAGGTGTGCAAATCTTTTTCCTTGTTTGCATCCCCTAAATGACACAATATAACAACCATCATTTTTTTTGGTGGTACAGTGGGAGAGAATTTGAACCCCATCTTGGCACTGAACTATAGCCTACGCCCACCCTGCTTGAGACAAGTTGCCTAGGCTGAGCTCACACTTGCAATCCTCCTGCCTTAGCCTCCCAACCTGCTGGGGTCACAGGTGCACACCACCACACCCGGCTACTTACATGCCATCTACAGTGTGTTAGATATTAAAAGTAGTTCAGAGGTAATGTAGGTGTGTGGGAGGATGGGCTTAGGTAGATGCAAATAGTGCATCATTTTAAAGAAGGGACTTGGGCATCCATGGATTTTTACCTTTGGGGGCTTCTGGAACCAACTCCCACAGGTAGCAAGGACCAACTGTGCTGTCACTGCACAAAGGAGGAAGAGCCTGGGATGCCCAACTTATCCAAGATCTCAGGAAACAGCCCAGGGGGAGTTCGAGCATGTCCCCTTAACCACAGAGAGAAACCAGTAATTCTTCCACTGTGTCTATCAAGCCTGCAAGGGCCCAAGGAACTGCCGTCCAGGGCCCCAGGGCCCAGATGGGGCCTGTGTGCTTCCAGAGTTCTTGGGGACACCCTATCCTGAGTAGGGATGGGTGTGTAGATGGCCTCAGGGCAAGGACAGTCCCCAATCACAATCGGATCCCCAGCTCAGCCCCTCAGGGTGGAGCAACATCAGGCAGCCAGGCCCCAGATCTGGGTTTAGCACCTGGCTCCAGGTCGCACCCACTATGTGACACCCAGCAGGTCACCCAACCTCTCTGACCCAAAGCTCTGTGTAGTTACAAAGAGAGCAGTAACAGAGAGCAACGACAGGGGAGGGGCAGAGAGAGTGAGTGTGTAAAGCACTTGGCTCTGTTTGCACACTGCTAAGCTGCATTCCAGAGATGGGCAGTGATAGCATTAATAATGCGTCTCTGGCCTGACTCTTAGGAGACACTTAATCACAGGTCCCTCTATCCCACTGGCTCATCCAATAAGGGAGCTGGTCCCCCCCACCCCGCCCCCTGCCACTGTCCACAGGCCTGCTGTCAGGTGTAAGCCTGAGTCACAGGTGCCCAGGGCTCCTGTCATCTCTGTGCCTGCTCCACTGCCCCTGGCCTGGCCAGGTGCACCTGTAATTTGACACCTGCGTCCAGCAGGGCAGAGACCCCCTGGTGGGGATCCAGGTGCAGGGAAGCCTTGACTTCACAGCTGTTGCCCTAGCTTAGGGCTCGCTCTTTGTCCCTGCTGTGCGCTGAGCTCTGTGATGTGTGGACCAAGCGCAGTTTCTGCATCGGGTAGATAGAGACCCACAGCCCACTCCTGTCTCTCTGAAGATAGAGACCAATGTAGATTAGCAGCTTCCTTAGGGCCACCATCCACTGTGCAGGGAAATTGAGGCAGAAGGTGCCCTGGAGCCCTGCTCTAGTGTCCGAGCGGCTCAGATTCAAGTCACCAACAGTGAGGGTTCATTTTGCTTTAAGTCTTGGTCCTCCCATGAAAATGCAACTATGATGAAACACCTGCTGATAGAGGGGGATAACACAATAATTAATGGCTCTCTGCCCCTGCCCGGGTCCTCTTCTCCCTACTCCAGCCTGAACAGTCTTTTAAGTTTGACATCTGAGCCAGGTGTGGTGGTGCACACCTGTAATCCCAGCACCCTGGGAGGCTGAGGCGGGAGGATCATATGTTCAAACCAAGCCTGGGCATTTTAGCAAGTCCGTGTCTCAAAAGAAAAAATTAAAAGGGCTGAGGATGTAGCTCAGAAATAGAATACCCCTGGATTCGATCTGCACTAGGAGGAAGGAAGGAAGGAAGGAAGGAAGGAAGGAAGGAAAATTTGATTTCTTTTTGTTTGACGGTAAAGCCTCACTCCAGCCCACTGAGACAGTCTGGTCCTCTGCCTCCCTCTGTCTGGCCCTTTGCCATGATGCCCTTTCTCCCCTCCACGCACCGTGCAATCCCTGCCCCCTTAGATTCCCTGTGCCTGGGATGCCCGGCCCAGACCCAGAACCTGGCTGACCGCTCTTCACCTGGAGACGCCCAGCCCCTCCCCAGGCAGCGTGGCCAGCCTCCAGGAGCCCCGGCTTCAATCCTCTGCCTCTTCCTAGCCAAGCCTTCTCTTAGTGCCTTGTTCTCTGCATTCGTACAAGGGGTGGGGAGTTTGGGGGACTCTTACAGTTGTCCGGTCATTGCTGTCTGCCCTGCTAGATTCATATGCCTTGCCTACAGTTGCCACAAATCCTAGCGGGATGGGAGTCACACGTATCCTCTGTCCCCTGGACACACAAGTCAGAACACCTGGGTCCCAGTGGGGCCGTGGTGGTATCTTCATTTTCAGCTCAGACTCCAGCCTGGAGTTTGCTAGATCTGCTGGTCCTGGGTGGTTCGTGCCCTCAGCATCACTGACAGTGCCATGGGACCCGCCTCACTGGTGCCCTAGTTTCACGGTTGCGAGGATGAAATGAGGTGCTGTGGACAGAGGGTTTGCTAGTGTGGGAGCTCTGGGCACCGGAGTGCCACAAACACAGTGCCCTCCGTGCTGCCCTTCTGCTGCAGGCATCGAGCCCGGCCACATCCCCGGCACTGTGAACATCCCCTTCACGGAATTCCTGACGGAGGAGGGCCTGGAGAAGAGCCCCGAGGAGATCCGACACCTGTTCCAGGAGAGGAAGGTGGACCTGTCCCAGCCCCTGGTGGCCACGTGTGGCTCTGGCGTCACAGCCTGCCACGTGGTGCTGGGGGCCTACCTCTGCGGCAAGCCCGACGTGCCCGTCTACGATGGCTCCTGGGTGGAGTGGTACATGCGTGCCCAGCCCGAGAACATCATCTCTGAGGGTCGGGGGAAGACCCACTGAGGCTGGAGGGGACACGGGCCAGCTCAGCTGACACCCGGCCGCCAGCGGTGCACAGCCTGGTAGGCCTGACTCTGTTTTGTGTGAGTGTTTACCATCATCTAGTTCAGATGACGTTTGGGGTGACACCTGAGAAATTAGTACTCGTGGGGTCCCAGAGGAGGCAGGAGAAAGGTGACACAGGCGCAGGAAGGGCCAACAGGACACAGAACTGCTCCTAATGGTGCTAAGCTGGGGCCCCGCCTTGCTTCCATTTTACAGTTGAGGAAATAAAACAGCCAAGTGTGAAATCCTTGTAGCTGTGGGGCTGCCTGATTCTCCTCAGGAGTGAGGGTTCCCGCACACCCAGCAAAGGTGGCTCAGAGGAGCCTCGGGTCTTGGGGATCCTGTTCCTACTTCCTGAGCAGTGCTGGGGGCCAGAGCCCCCTGTGCCTATGACTGGAATGCTCCCTAGCAAGCAGTCCTCCGCCCGCCCCATAACCCTCCAGGCCTCTCTCTGGCTTCTAGATGAATTCTGCTGTGACTTGGCCGCCTCCATACAGGTCAACTGTATGTCTGCTTTCAAGAAGGAGATGGGCCCAAAACCTGCAGGAGGCTCCCCTGGCACTGCCAGGATGTCCAGGGAGGCTCCCCTGGCACTGCAGGCTGAGTCAAGCCAACCTGCAGCAGGACCTGGCCCTAAATCTGGGAGCTCATGTTTGCAGGCAGGGTGAGCCTGGGGGGGCAGGCTTCCTGCTCGTGGACCCCAGGCTCGCTCTGCTTCTGTGTGTGTCCTCTGTGCAGAGGTGGACACAGGTGTCTGCGTCCTGGTGCCGCCTCATTAGGGCCTGGGCCACCTGACCCCATCTTCCTGGATGCTATCTCAGCAGCAGAGGAGCAGCAGCCTGTCTGTTGTTACTGGGAGAAACCTTAGAAGGGACCTTGGCTTTTCTCTCCTTCCAGAGAGGACCATGGCTTACCCAGGGGCATTTACAACATAGCTGGGGCCCAGTCCAGGTTCCTAACTGACTTGATTCTTCTCCCTCTTCCAAGTCCTCAGGGACAGGGAGGGAGAGCCAACCCCTCTGAGCCTCAGTCTCCTCATCTATGAAATGGGAACATGTCTGCTTCAGAGAAAGGGAAATCAGACAAGAATCTGGCCCAGAGCCCCACACAGCTCTCCTTTTCCTAGACTGGCTTTCCCAGACTCAGCCACCCCACAGACATCAGACTGGGGAGCTCACTGTGGAGGGGGCACGGGGCCTGCACAGTTGGTGCTTAGCATTTCTGGCCTCTATCACTGGATGTCAGTAGCACTGCTCAGTTATGACAACCGTAGGCATTTCCAGTCAGCGCCCAGTGTCCCCTGGGGGGAGCAAAAATCACCCCCAGTTGAGAACCACTGCTCCAGGGGCGAATGGAAGTTGACCACAGCAGCCAGGAACAGTGTAGGCAGGGAACCCCAATATGGAAGGGGCTCCCTAACCCTCATCCTGAGCCCCTCCCCCTGGGGCTGGATATAGCAGGTTAGGAACCCTCTCCCTCCTGCCCCCTCAGATGCACCTTGCTTTCTCTCCCCAGACTGTCTCTGTGTCTGCCGGGAGACACATTTGTCCACAAATACACGGGAGCTTCTCATCTGCCTTCCCGCCTTGGCCATGCCACATGGGGCTGCCTGACCTTGGACTGGCTGCTAACCCTCTCTGGGCCTTGGTTTCCTATCTTTCAAATGGGCATAATCACACCTTCCTTGAGCAGTGGGAGGGTTAATGAGATAACTCACAGAAACTGTTTAGGCTGGTGCCAGGCGCAGAGTAAACAAGTACTGTCATTATTTTTAAAGGGTTTTTACGAATTCAGCATGTTACGTGCTTTCTGTACTTTGGGTACGGGGAGGAGAGAAGAATGGATACAAGAATTGTACCACTGCCTTCGAGAAACTTCCAAGCCAAGAGAAGCCAGTCCTTCCCATCATGTTTACAGAGAGGGAAGTTTACAGTGAAATGCTCTATTTTACAACAGACTGACTTTACAGGAGAGAACATGAGCTCAGAAAGGTTGAGCAGTTTGCATAAGGACACACAGCTAGTCTGGAAGGACCCTACCTGGAGTTAGGATTCTCAGGGTGGGAGTCTTTCTGATGGGCCTCGCCTGTGAGGGTTTCCAGATTTGGGTACACAGAGAGTGGAGTGTTTCCCCAGCTGCACAGAGAGCCCTTGAGCAAGGGGATTTAAGCAGGCGGTTTGAGTCGGGCTCCTCCCAGAGCCCAGCTCAACCTCCAAAATGGAAACCTAGGCTGATGGGAGTCTGGCTTATTTTTCTCTCTGATGCGGTCCTGGGCAGATGTGGACAGGTTCAGGGGAACAGAGGAGCCAGCTGTGCCTTCCCAGAGTGCTTGGAGCTTCGCTGTAGCCTGGCGGCAGCTTCCAGCAGGGACTCAGGGCTGCGCCTGAGCTGTCTTGCACCACCGCCCCCACCACCACCCCGAAAGCCTCAGCTTCCGGAATAATAAACCCCGTCTCTGCAGGGCCACAGTTGGGCAGCACCCGCCCCACCCACTGTGCATCCCAGCCAGGAATTGCCACACCAGGCAGTGAAGATGGCGAAAGTTTTGGCAAATATTTGCTGAGCAGCCCTCTGCCCGAGGGATGGTAGAAGTGCACTTCCTAACCTTGCTGAACCAGCTGCACCAGAACCTCTCCGCTCTCTGGATTGCTGCCGCAGGGACCATGGTCCAGAGCCCCTGGGTGCTGAATAATGGGTCTGTACAGTGGTTGGGTCCCAGGGCTATGGAATCAGCTTAGCATCAGGTTTCCAGAGGCCTGTCTCCGAGAGCCTTCCTTCTGGACCTCAGTCTTCTCATCTGACAAATGGGAGCAAACTTGGTCCTGCCAAGAACAGGGTGGCTGTGATGTAGGGTAGGTAAAGCTGAAGACCATGGCAGGTGTCCCTCCTACAGGAAGAGCCTCAGCTATAGAAGCACAGGGGAGCTTTACTACTGGAGCTTTATTATCTGTAATTCACAGAGAATTAGTCATTCAGGGGAACATAAAATGTTGAGGCTAGATGACGGCTGTAGTGGGTTAACGTACGAACCTGTGAGGGGGTGTGACTACCCAGACGTCCTTCTGGTTCTGGTTCAGGCTTTGCCACACAGTGGTACCTACAGGGGCTGCTTGTCCCTATACCCTGCGGCCCCCACTCTTAAGACGTCGCAGCGCCTGAGTCCTTGGTGCCCTGACCTTGCTGGCCGTACTTCCCATTTAAGGTCTGTTCTCCAGGGTCCTGTCCCTCCACACACCCCTCCATCTGCTCCTGGGTGGGCCGCCCCTCACTGCGTGCTGCCACCCATGCCAACTACACCGTTGAGCCGGATCTGGACCTGCTGCCTCCTGATCTGAGAGCCTTACAGCTGCTGTCTGCTGGACCCCAGCTCCACTCTGCCCCTCATCCTCTCTCCAGCTCAGCATGCACAGCCACCACCGAGAGGCTGCCTGCACCTGGTGGCGACTCTGCCTCCCTTCCCCACTGCCTGTCCGCACGGGGTCCGGAACTTCCACCTGTTCCCTACTGCCCCAGTCCAGGTTGCCCACCTACCCCACGTGCCCCAGAAACAAGCAGATGTGGCCTGTCTCACCTGGAAATGCTGGCGACCACCCTCACCGGTCCCAGAGAGGCAGCCCTGCCTGGGCAGAAGAAGAGGACAGACAGACAGACCCTACGAGGCAGGCAGCAAGGGCTCACACTGCAGCCCCCAGAGCCCCCAGCCTCCTTGGCTGTGGGCATGTGCAGCTGCCTCAGTTTCCTCATCTGTGGTATGAGGGTGTGAGTTGCTATGGGGATGGAATGATCTGCTTCGTACAAAGTGCTAGGATCAGAAGCTGGCAGAGTAACTGCCCCGTAAGTCAAAGCCCCCACCACTACTGTCCGCCCCTGTCTCAGCACCCGCCTCCTTGCTGGGCTGTGAGCCCCTGTGGGGTGAGATAACACTCACAGTCCTCTTCCTGGCACCACGCCCTGACTGACGTGGACAGGGCCAGTGAACGTGCGATGTGGACCTGGATATGCTCTTAGGGCTACAGAAGGCATTAGTGATCCCTCCTATGCACTGAGCACTTTCCATGGACCAAGAAGGATGCTAAGTGCTTTGCATCCACTTCCTCCGACCGCCCTGAGAAACTGTTGTAATCGTTCTCCACTGCACAGGTAAGAAGGCTTCAATAAATGATAAACCAGGTGCTGCACACAGGAAGATTGGGTTGTATTATGCATAGGGCGGGTACGATAACTACTGGGCTTCCATGTGCTACAGGACAAGATTGATTTTGGTTTTTCTCCGGTACCGGGAACCGAACTCATGACCTTGCGCTTGCGAGGCAGGCGCTTTTGCCACTGAGCTAAATCCCCAGCCCCAGGACAAGATTGAGAAAGAAATCTGAGAAAAGGGAGAGCAGTTCTCTGAGGGGAGGGGCAGTGCATGAGCCCCCTCCAGACGCACTCACTCACACACATGCTCACACACATACACACACGCACATCGATGACCACACCTTTGCTCCCAAATGAGAGCTAAAGCAACCAGGGGCTAATTCATTTGCCTGACTGGATACCTTTCTCCAGGACTCGTTCAGAGAAGAAGGAGGAAAAAGATGCCTTCTCTGTAAACAAACAAAAACAGTCACGCTTGGTAGAGAACAATGTAAGCAACCAGACAATCACCAGGGCGCCAAAAACTGGGTGCCATAACTAGTTGCAAGCATCAGCTAAACTGCAGCAGGCCCAGAAGAGGTGGGCAGGGCCTCCGGGAGTCCCTAGGTGAGCCAGGGCCGGGGGAGGTGAAGTGGGGAGGTTAATGTACCCAGAGGCTGGCCGCTGTCCTCCACTCCCTCTGGTTCCTGCTTTGCAGGCTTTCCCCATTTCCGGTCCGTGAAAGGCTTGCCCATCCACCTCAAGCCCATTAGGAAAGTGGCTCCAGGAGGGTAAAGGGGGTGTGGGGAGGCCAAGGGCTTAGAGAGCAGGGCAGAGGCTCTGGGCTCACATGACACATGCTGACCCATAAACAGAGCCTCATACAGGACGGGGATTTAAGCTGCCTGCTTTGCCTGGTCGGCTTTAAAAGAAAGGAAACAAACAAAATATGTAGAAATGGGTTCTGTTTGCCTCCGTTTCTTTCTTTCCCCGGGGAGCCCCGCGGTGAGGGACTCAGGGAAGGAATTCAGGTCCGGGTTACACTTGCTCTTCTGACAGGCTGGGCTGCACACGCGGCAGCAGAAGTGGAAGTAAAGTGCAGAGCCTGACGTAGGAGCCTGAGATGCGTGA